AAGACTAACGTACATTTCACCGTAACTCCTGGCAGCGGACTTTATTGCAAGGATGTGGAAGCGTGCAGGGTGTCCAAGCCTGCAGGCCCGATGGGCTGCCAGCCGGGCAGAACTGTGACGCCTCACGAGTCCACAGACAGACAGACATCTGTGCGCCATTTGCAATGCAAGATTTAAGATTCATGCCTGGTCTCGCCCTGAATGAGCCACGGGACCTGCACCCTTCTGGCACCACATGACCGCCTTTGGCAGCCAGCCGCGAGGCCGGGAGCTCATCTCGATGCGCTTCACTAGCGAGCTGACGGTGGCAGGCTGGACGGCGCGCGGCCGGCCGCGACAGCGGCGGCCTCCGCTCCGGTCGAGAGGCGCCGGCCGCAGCCAGCTGCGGACCCGGCCCGGCCGGCGGTGCTGGTCATGCCGAGGACGTGTGCAGGGCGAGGGGAGGGGACGTGTGCAGGGGGGGGAGGGGACGTGTGCAGGGGGGGGGGGAGGGGACGCGTGCAGGCTCGGCGGTGACACGTCACATCGAGCTGGCCGCCTCAGGCGCCAGCGGCGAGTCAGACCACCGACGGCCTCAGGGACGGACGCTCTTGTTTACTGACCGGTCAGCGTCTGCGGAAGGAGATGCTCACAGCAGCCAGCTGCGAGCTGGACCATGGGCCTACGCTTTCCTGGCCGGTACCACAGTTACTCAATTTGATGGCTCGTAGCCTTATGGTTTGCGGGGATGTACTTGCGTTTGTGTAAGCACAACGGCGCCAGGAATTTTTGCGCTCCGAATGGTCAACGATTTAAATTCGATCTTGTCGCTGGCAGCCCAGTGGTGGTGCGCTTTGGAGGGGGAGGTTTTCACTCGAGATTGGCTTTAATACAACATACCATCTGCACAGTGCCTCGTCTGTGTTCTGTTTTCTCCGAAAGGAGAAACAAGGAGACGAAATTAGTGGTGACCAATAGTTCATGAAACATATCGATAGTAAACGGTGCATCGTTCAGTAAAATAACGCGATTTTATACGGAATACCTTACAATGGCCAAGATCATATCGTACTCGGAATTGTAACATATTTTAAAATGGGAGGCAGCCATATAATAAATGCATGCTGTTTTCATTCTAGCCGTTAAAAGTCAAGTGGACCAGCACCAAACCGGACCACGTCCCGACTCGACAGCGGACCGGACATGTGCACCGATGCACGAGGCGCAGCTCCCCTCCAGATATACGCAGCGCGGCGGGAGATGTTTTGTATGTCGCAAATTAGCAGCCCGAGCTTCGTGTCGCCTTTTGGACTGCTGTGTCCATGTGCTTGGCAGAATCTAGCTGTAAGCCAAGCTCCACGCCCAGCCCCGCACTCTCCAGCCCCGCACTCTCCAGCCCCGCACTCCCCCGCCCGCACTCTCCAGCCCCGCACTCTCCAGCCCCGCACTCTCCAGCCCCGCACTCTCCAGCCTCTCACTCTCCAGCCTCTCACTCTCCAGCCTCTCACTCTTCCGCCCGCACTCTCCAGCCTCTCACTCTCCCGCCCCGCACTCTCCCGCCCGCACTCTCCAGCCCCGCACTCTCAGACTCGCACTCTCCAGCCTCCACTCTCCAGCCTCTCACTCTCCAGCCTCGCACTCTACCGCCCGCACTCTCCAGCCTCTCACTCTCCAGCTCCTCACTCTCCCGTCCGCACTCTCCAGCCCCGCACTCTCCAGCCCCGCACTCTCCAGCCCCGCACTCTCCAGCCCCGCACTCTCCAGCCTCTCACTCTCCAGCCTCTCACTCTCCAGCCTCTCACTCTTCCGCCCGCACTCTCCAGCCCCTCACTCTCCAGCCTCTCACTCTCCAGCCCCACACTCTTCCGCCCGCACCCTCCAGCCCCGCACTCTCCAGCCCCGCTCTCCCCAGCCTCGCACTCTCCAGCCTCTCACTCTGCAGCTCCGCACTCTCTAGCCTCTCACTCTCCAACCTCGCACTCCTCTGCCCGGCGCTAACTCAGCGGCAGTCGGTCAGTGCTCAGCGCGGCCACAGCAGTGGGACGCACCTCACACTGAAGACATGATGGTCCCGGTGTATGTATCCCCCGCCGCACCTCACACTGAGGGCGTGCTGCTCCCTGTGTGTGTAGCCCCCGCACCTCACCGCCGCCGCTGAGGTGCACCCCAGCTCTAAACGCGTCTAAACCGCCTCCGCACGGTGGAATACCGAAAACACATTTAAGTTTCAGTTGACAATTGTAGCGCCTGCTCTTCCACCCGGCACAGTCACCCCAGGCGCTGTCCGCTCTTCCACCCAGCACCGTCGCACCAGGCGCTGCCCGCTCTTCCACCCGGCACAGTCACCCCAGGCGCTGCCCGCTCTCCCACCCGGCACCGTCGCGCCAGGCGCTGCCCGCTCTTCCACCCGGCACCGTCACCCCAGGCGCTGCCCGCTCTTCCACCCGGCACAGTCACCCCAGGCGCTGCCCGCTCTTCCACCCGGCACAGTCACCCCAGGTGCTGCCCGCTCTCCCACCCGGCACCGTCACCCCAGGCGCTGCCCGCTCTTCCACCCGGCACAGTCACCCTAGGCGCTGCCCGCTCTTCCACCCGGCGCAGTCGCCCCAGGCGCTGCCCGCTCTTCCACCCGGCACCGTCACCCCAGGCGCTGCCCGCTCTTCCACCCGGCACCGTTACCCCAGGCGCTGCCCGCTCTTCCACCCGGCACAGTCACCCCAGGCGCTGCCCGCTCTTCCACCCGGCACCGTCACCCCAGACGCTGCCCGTTCGGGGATCAATAGCGGCTGCAATGCTGGCACCACCGGCGCGCCGCTCAGACCGCGTGGAACCGCTGCGAACCGAATTCATCGTGCCTCTCTCGCGGCGTGCCACTTGCACATGCAAGGGCATGAAATGCATAGCGTGGCGGCGTAGCGCGCGCAGAGCCACGCCATTCGGATCGGCTGTCGGCGGGGATAGAGGTAGTTCGATTTTGTATGGCTGGTAGTGTGGCAAGGGCCACCGCGGGACCACGCCGAGGTGATCACGTGTAACCAGGACCGTCCCGATGGCTCAGTTGGCTTCATGGCTTCATGGCTTCTGGTTATGGTGATGCAAAGGTGACGCGACTTCATGGTCCCACCTGGCACAAAAGCAGTGTCGCAGATCGTTCCGTTGACCTGTCTTCTTCGCACGCTGCTGATGGGCCACACTCACTACACATCACTTCCCACAAGCTGAGTATCGCCCCGACTTAATTCAAACATTGTCACATACGGATGAGTGGAGGTCAGGTGATCAGGCTAGAGAAGACGTTACTATATTTGGGCCCATTTTCGTGAACGTTGCTAAGGGAGACGAAGGGCAGGTTTTCAACGAAAGTATTATGATGCGCCTTGCCATATGAACCATTAAAATGTGTTTGGGAATATCGCAAGCTGTGAAATATCGTTGCATATTTACAGCGCCGTCAGCAGGATGTCAGGACGTACCCTGAAGACCCGAGACAGCGCAGAGCAAAACAGAGCTTTCCCCATGCGGCTTATATACAAACTATATATATATATATATATATATATATATATATATATATATATATATATATATATATATTTATATATATATATATATATATACATATATACTAGCGGATGTAAGACTCAAAGGCAGACATATACCCATGCCCCCTTTCTGTCTGTATACGTTGTCATTGGAAATTTTAAAAACCAATTCGTCATAGGATATATGTATATATGTATGAATATATATAATATATACATACATATATATGGCACTGGTCGATCTCGCCGTGTGCACCCTGGGTCTCATGCAAAAATTTTCGTCTGGTGAACTGCCTCTTGACCCTTGACCCCTGACCCGTGCCCCGTGACCTGTTTCAGTAACCTGACGAGCGCCCAGCAGTTCTGGTGGGACATCTCCCCCGAAGCTCTCTACCCGAAGCACAGCGAGGCAGTGCCGCATTTGATCAAGGAAATGGCCAGCCTGCCCATCAGTGCCATAGGTAAGATGTCTGGTCCGTCCGTCCGTCCGCCCATCCGTCCGTCTGTTGGTCCGTTCGGCTGTCCTTTGTGAAGGAGGCGTATGAACGGTTGTATTGGCTGGCGGTCATCGTCGGAGTCGAGCAGACATCCTGCCGGTGCATCAACGCTGCATGGCCAGGAGCCGTCCCATGCCCAGGAGCCGTCCCATGGCTAGGAGCCGTCCCATGCCCAGGAGCCGTCCCATGGCTAGGAGCCGTCCCATGCCCAGGAGCCGTCCCATGGCTAGGAGCCGTCCCATGCCCAGGAGCCGTCCCATGGCTAGAGCCGTCCCATGCCCAGGAGCCGTCCATGGCTAGGAGCCGTCCCATTGACTAGGAGCCGTCCCATGCCCAGGAGCCGTCCCATGGCTAGGAGCCGTCTCATGGACAGGAGCCGTCCCATGCCCAGGGCCGTCCCATGGCTAGGAAGCCGTCCCATGCCCAGGAGCCGTCCCATGGCTAGGAGCCGTCCCATGCCCAGGAGCCGTCCCATGGCTAGGAGCCGTCCCATGGCTAGGAGCCGTCCCATGGCTAGGAGCCGTCCCATGCCCAGGAGCCGTCCCATGGCCAGGAGCCGTCCCATGGCTAGGAGCCGTCTCATGGCCAGGAGCCGTCCCATGCCCAGGAGCCGTCCCATGGCTAGGAGCCGTCCCATGCCCAGGAGCCGTCCCATGGCTAGGAGCCGTCCCATGCCCAGGAGCCGTCCCATGGCTAGGAGCCGTCCCATGGCTAGGAGCCGTCCCATGCCCAGGAGCCGTCCCATGCCCAGGAGCCGTCCCATGGCTAGGAGCCGTCCCATGGCTAGGAGCCGTCTCATGGCCAGGAGCCGTCCCATGGCCAGGAGCCGTCCCATGGCTAGGAGCCGTCTCATGGCCAGGAGCCGTCACATGCCCAGGAGCCGTCCCATGCCCAGGAGCCGTCCCATGGCTAGGAGCCGTCACATGCCCAGGAGCCGTCCCATGGCTAGGAGCCGTCTCATGGCCAGGAGCCGTCCCATGCCCAGGAGCCGTCCCATGCCCAGGAGCCGTCCCATGGCCAGGAGCCGTCCCATGGCTAGGAGCCGTCACATGACTAGGAGCCGTCCCATGGCTAGGAGCCGTCCCATGGCTAGGAGCCGTCCCATGGCTAGGAGCCGTCCCATGCCCAGGAGCCGTCCCATGCCCAGGAGCCGTCCCATGGCCAGGAGCCGTCCCATGGCTAGGAGCCGTCACATGACTAGGAGCCGTCCCATGGCTAGGAGCCGTCCCATGGCTAGGAGCCGTCCCATGGCTAGGAGCCGTCCCATGGCTAGGAGCCGTCACATGACTAGGTGGGGTGGGTGTTAAGGCGGAGTGTCGAGGTGCGATGAAAGTTGTCGCTATTGGCCAGGCATGGCACACTGCATCATCACTTGGGTGTGCGGAATTTGGTCTTTTAGAGCAATGTCACTAAACATATATATCCTGTATTGATGAATGATGTAGTCTCGCCGGCAGTAAATGCCTTCCCGAGAGAAGGGATTTTATCCGGGAGCAAATCACATGGCTGCTTTGACTCCCTTCAATCTTAATGGAGACCAGGTCTGGACGGGTGCTAAAGAGCAGACATTCGACAGTGCGACAGCTGGCTGTACTCGTGATCGCACTCTCACGTAAAAGCTGTGCACCGTCTGCGCCGAGGGTCATGACCATTCTGTTTCCAGAACAAAAGACAGGTGGCACGCAGCTGAAGCTGATCATAACTCTGCAAAACGAGGCCGAGGCACTCGTCAAGCCAATGAGGTGAGAACTTCCCTGCAGCGAGCCAAGTCGTTCTTACGACAAGGCCACGGTAAACCGAGAGCCCACTTCGTAGCCTCGCGGCCCGCTCGCGCGCGGTTCTCGGACATGTTGGTCATTACCCGACGACGTCAAAACTGCTGATCGCTGCACTGCACAGCTGGGAGACTGCACAACCAGTCTTTGCAGCCGGTGGAGACGGTGCCCTTTAGCGGCCACGTGTTGGCCCCATTAATCTGTTCATGCAGAGACTCGTTGCCCTACATGGCTCGTCGCACCAGAGCTGTCTGAGCAGCGGGCGGTCACGGCATTCTCACAACGGTCCATCCCTGGCCGAGCGCTTCGGCCACGTGCTGAGAACGCAGTCCGCGAGTGATGGAGCTGTCGTGAGATCTGGCCCGGGGCATGCTGCTGCCACATGTCTCTGGACGTCTTGCCACGCTTCCAAGATCACACGGCCCCGAAACACTCCAGCTGTTTCAACAGACCTCCAGTTGGTACCAAGTAAAACGACGGTAAACATTTCGACTAAGCTTCAAAAGAGCACCGTTCCCACTTTCCGGCAAACTTCCTGTCTCAGTGTTCCCGGCTGCAGGTCTGCGCAGCCGTCTTTTGCTGGCCTGTCGTCTCCGGCCTCGACCCCTCCCCGCGGTCCCTCTCAGCAAGGACGACTTTCTCCGGGACGGACGGCAGACCTGGTACCCTAGTGTGCTGACGGCGGTTACAGCAGCCCCGTGTGCCCAGGTTTCCGCGGGAGCAGGAGACGCTGCCAAACCACTTCTACTTCTCCGATTACGAGCGGCACAACGCTGAGATCGCTGCGTTCCACCTCGACAGGTGAGAGCGGACCGTGAGCACGGTGAGATGCGGGTGTGGGCAAGGTGAGGTACGAATGCAAACACTGAGCAGGTAAACTGCGGGAATGTGAGGTACAGGGTGGTGAGCTGTGTCAATGGACACAACAAATGACTGCATAATCTTGCTCATTATGGAGGGATGTGATGATTAGGGCTGAAACAACCACCAAGTATTGCTTCTGGTTTCTCTTAATGTATATTTTAGCATTCTAAAGTAGAAGTTCCGCATCGATCTGCGCAGTCCTCCGCATCGATCTGTGCAGTCCCCTGCCCCCCCTGTGCAGTCCCCTGTGTCGAACTGTGCAGTCCCCTGTCCCCCCTGTGCAGTCCCCTGTGTCGATCTGTGCAAGTCCCCTGTGTCGATCTGTGCAGTCCCCTGTCCCCCCTGTGCAGTCCCCTGTGTCGAACTGTGCAGTCCCCTGTCCCCTCTGTGCAGTCCCCTGTGTCGAACTGTGCAGTCCCCTGTCCCCTCTGTGCAGTCCCCTGTGTCGATCTGCATAGTCCTCTATGTCGACCTGTGCACTTCGTGTCGATCTGTACAGTCCTCCGAGTCGAACCGTGCAGTCCTCCGCATCGATCTGTGCAGTCCCCTGTCCCTTCTGTGCAGTCCCCTGTGCCGAGCTGTGCAGTCCCCTGTCCCCTCTGTGCAGTCCCCTGTGTCGATCTGCATAGTCCTCTGTGTCGACCTGTGCACTTCGTGTCGATCTGTACAATCCTCCGAGTCGAACCGTGCAGTCCTCCGTGTCCACCTACGCAAGGGTTAGCGGCAGCGTGAAAACCGGCCCTAGTAGGTGACGCATTCTGCAATTCCAATTATCATTATAAGATCGCGGCGCTAAATGGCAGCCGATAAGAGATCGCGGCGCTAAATGGCAGCCGATAGGAGATCGCAGCGTTAAATGGCAGCCGATAAGAGATCGCGGCGCAAAATGGCAGCCGATAGCAGATCGCAGCGCTAAATGGCAGCCAATAAGAGATCGCGGCGCTAAATGGCAGCCGATAAAAGATCGCAGCGCTAAATGGCAGCCGATAAGAGATCGTGGCGTTAAACGGCAGTCGATTCTCACTACCTCGCTGAGGTCCAAAACTGCTTTCAAGTAGCTGGCACTACTGAGGCAAGTTGGCGGGCACTTCGAGCAAACCGAATCTGGTCGTGGCCGAGCTGCGCGTGTCTGCCCTGACCTTGAACTGACCTCGACCTGACCTTGCGTCCCCAGGCTGCTGGGCTTCCGTCGCGCGTCCCCGGTGGTCGGCAGGATGATGAACATGACGTCCGACTTGTACGCCCTGGCCGACGACAAGCTGCTCAAGACGTTCTTCATCTCACCGGCAAACAACCTCTGCTTCCACGGCAAATGCAGGTTGGTGGCGCCGCCTTGCGGCGAGTGGCTATTCCGCACTGCAGATGTGTTCGTGCTGGCGTTCGGCGGCATGACAGAGGCCAGGCTTGGCACTGAACGCTTTAATTTATGTCTTGCTTTTAAGATACAGTGGTGAGTTATGAATTTTAAACGCTGACCTTGCATTGCTTATCCTTACGTGCTATTCTCGTCCTCTTAGTTTAGTCGCTATATTTTTAGCGTGGGCGCCGCGGGTTCGCAGTATTCAGTTCATTCTTGGGGTTTAATGTTCGGTTCCATGCGTCGCAGTTATTTTGGATAGGTGCTCCTGGTCGCCTGCGTGCGGACGATCGGAGGATAAATCCAATCTTGAAAAATAGCGCATGCCTCTTTTTGGTATCACGTTTTAATTTGTTCCACTGCGCGTGCGTCGCGCTCTCACCGCTCTACCCCTGTCCGCCGAGCTTGTGACTCCGTTCCATTCGCTACCGCCCCTTCACGATTGGAATTGCGCCCATACATAAGTACAGGCTGACTAGAACCTTTTGAAGATTTGGCCCGCGCCCGAGCCGGAGGAAGTTGACTTCCCGCTACGGTTTTTCGAGCACAGGTCCAAGACGGATGCTCGCAGCGATACGAAAGTGTCAATACCTCTTTACTGACGAACGCTTGCAGCGACACGAAATTGTCAATACCTCTTCATCTGTCAGTTCGACATCTGTTGTGCACATCTGAAGTTTTTGATCTACTAAGATCAGTGACCTTCTGTGACATGTTTTCAGTTGGATGGTTTATGAATTTGAACTAAGTGACCTCAGATGACCTCTAGGTCACCACGAAATGATGTTTTTTGTGCCTGGAATTTTTCCAGTGAACGTATTCGAAAGCAAATTGTGAAGAAAAGTATTTTTATTGTAGGCTACTGGTGGACCAATTTTGATTAGTGACCTTGACTCATGAGGGGGAGCAGAAATGGTCGAAATGAACTCCCCACAGTCTTTACGGTTATTTCGGTGCTCTAATTGATCGTTTTGATGTGTTAACATAGGTTTTTAACTATATCCATCGAAGCAACCTTTTTTACTTTTGGTGCCCTCTGGTGACGTCACGTCTGACCTAAGGCGAATAATTTGGGTTGCGTTCTTCATGATTTGGCGAGACATTCAAAACGGTATCTTTTTTTCTCATACGGCGTCTGGAAGCTGGAGATGCCAGGGGAAAGTAAACTTTCCTCCACTCCCGCCGGCCGGGCGCGGTTGTCTCAGAACGTCCCTGCACTCCCGCCGGTCGGGCGTGGTTGTCTCAGAACGTCCCCCCACTCCCGCCGGCCGGGCGCGGTTGTCTCAGAACGTCCCTCCATTCCCGCCGGCCGGGCGCGGTTGTCTCAGAACGTCCCTGCACTCCCGCCGGCCGGGCGCGGTTGTCTCAGAAC